TATGATGACTCGCAAGCTTCTCGTCCCTCATTTCGCAAGCGACGTGGATCGCTCAATTTGTGCAAGAGGAAAGCGTGTAATTCGTACCTCGCAAGGATCAATGGGCATCTTGGGCGACATGTTTGTGAGATGGTATTCGATCGTAAGGGTGAGCGTGCGTGCATCTGCGATGGGACGCTGGACCATCTAGGAAAGAACAAGGAAAAGAGGCAAAACGCTAGAGCAAGCAATATCTCTTTTGACATGATGCGCGCTCTAATCTCTCTTTTCCCATCTTGATAGCGTGAGAGTACATTGAGGCATCATTTACCATCGAGAAGAAAGGTCGTCACTTGGGACCGCCTAGACTCGTAAGCTTGAACAGAAGCTCTGCTTTGCTTTGCTCCTCAGCTGGGTACCTCTCCTCTAGATGCGGCCGCCTTCACAGGTTCTGCGCATGGTGCGAGATGCGCGAAGAAGTGTCAGTAACCAGCTCGCATCGGAAACGACGAGGGTAGTCGCGCTGCTACAGAATACGCCTGCTCGTGCACACTCACCGAAATAAGCATGATTCATGGCTTCTTGAGCAGTCAATCTTTCGGCATGATCGTACTTCAAGAGACTGTCCAAAAAGTTGATGGCCTCGTTGGATACGTATCGCTGATTTTCGGATGTGATGAACCTTGACCAAGGCTTGCGTGTGTAGCTATTCGACGCAAGGATGTGAGGGACTGATAAGCACAATGTCGTGTCGTGCAGGAGGTACGAGCTAGCGCAAAGGCTGATACGCACCGGCCAAGAATCTCGTCGTATTGGGGATCCAGCTCGATATCGTACTTTTCGAGATAAGTGTACAACTCGTCCGTGCCGAGCACCTTGCAGATCTTGACCAGCTGATCATAATTATCATGCCCGTGGAAGAAAGGCTCTTTGCGGAAGATCTGCAGAACGACGGAGGTGGCCAGGCGTAGGCGAAGGGTGAGCAGAACGTCTTTGCTGAAGACTCTGCCCACACCGCGCGTGCGTACTCACCATGCTCGCAAACATGCAGCCCAGACTCCACATGTCTAGTGAGTAGTCGTACTCTTGGAAGTCCACCAGCAATTCTGGTCCCTTGAAGTACCTCGATGCGACACGAACATTGTACTCTGTGTACGGGTGGTAGAATTCCGCCAATCCCCAGTCGATGAGCCGCAACTGAAAACAGCGGCAATATGAAAGGAGGAAATCGGTATCAGCAGCTGTCAGAGCACCATCCATGCTAAACCTGGTGGCTCCTTTGCTGCTGCTTCGCTCGGCGCCCTCTGCAACTCACCTTGCGCTTCTCGTGGTCAATCATAACATTGTGCGGCTTTACGTCTCTATGCATGATGCCTCGCGAATGAGCAAAGTCGAGCGCCTGAGTGAAATCAACAACCAATCTGTCAGTGCCAAATTTTGGCGCTGCGGAGCGCCTTCGACTCGCGCTGCCTGCACGCACCTTGAGCAGCTCGTAGATGTAAAAGCGAACGTCAAAGTCTGTGAATTTGGGATAGAGCGTCTTGAAATCGGTGTTGTTGACGTATTCCATGACCATCGAGGGAGTTTTCGACTGCGAGTGTAGAGTCGCGAGCAGTCGCTGGTCAGCACGCGAGTGAACGCGAGCTTTGCAATCCCCCGGGATCGGCGGCTCTCTTGACCTCCATCGACGTTGGCAGCATGCGTCTCAACCTCCCCGTTTGCGCGTGTCCTGACCGGAAGTACTCACCTGCGGGTCCCTAACAACGTCCAACAAGCCGACAACATTAGGACCACCGGCCAAATTTTGCAAAATTTTGATTTCTCTCTTGATCTTTTTCTTCTTTACAGGTTTCAACACCTTGATGATGCATTTTTCCGGTCCACCCGTAGCTCCCAATCCGTGACCGGGAGAAGCACCAGCCCCTGACCCTCCGCCGACCGCGGTGCCTGCTACATTTACACCTTCAAACACTTCGCTGTATTTGCCTCGCCCTACTTTGCGAAGAATTTCGTAATTATCTTGAGTGCCCCTGCGATGCGTGATGGGACAAGGCGCATTGTGTCAGTCATGGCGATGGAACTCGGATACAAGCACGCAAGCGCATGTTTCACGCACCATTGCACCACGAGATTGTCTAAAACGAAAGGAAGCGGGAATGGCGCGCAAAATCAGAAACGTTCGGGCATTGGCAAGGCGAGGCGAGGCTTGGCTGAGAGCTGCAAAGCATCATCAAAGCTTGTTCAGGAAGTCATGCATGCCACTCTTGGGGATTAGATGGGCAAGAACCTCTTCGCGAGAAGGTGTGCGCTTGATGATGGCTGTATTACTTGTGCCACAAGTCTCACGTGCTGCCCAAAGTGATGTGTGCGATGCTGTTCTCGATCGCGAGCGCTGAATGTCTGCCCCAATCTTCCGGCACGAGGATGTGCATTGTGTCACACAGCACAGAAATGCGCTCACCCAAAGGTTGAGCCAGCCGAGCGAAGCAAAGCAAAGCAAAGCAACTCACCGTAATCCCACCACTGCCTGCCAAACTTTTCGTTGGCACCCGCATACACCCTGGCTACGCTCCGTCCGGGAATAGCCGTCATCTTGCTCTGATGGCTATCTCGATAGCTTCGATTTGATGCACCACGATGGCCCACGATGGCCCACTGAAAGCGTGACGCGACCCAGCGGTCTGACCGAGTGCGCTGTAGCTGAGAGTCAAGTTCACCGGCTGAACCTATTGGGTTCAAGATGAGCTTCAGCGACAGCACAGCCGAGTCTCGGAGCGGAGCGTCGTCGTGTCTTGAGGATGAAGCAGCGCTGCTTCTCACGCTGTGCGAAAGAAACGCTGGGCCCAGAAGAAAGTGGTGGGAGGAGCTCGGAGAGGGCGCTCGGCTTGCGACTTTGGAAGATTGTCTCTACTTTGTGGTCGCGGGACTCGTGACTGTGCTTTGCGATAAAAACGGCGCTCAGTGTCAAGAGCTCGGGTCAAAAGAGGGCGCTGAGGATGAAGGGACGGTGTGGAGTCGAGCCTACATGAGGAACGAGGTGAGATCGATGATTTGAGCCTCGACTCGCGACTCCTCCCTCCCATCAGAGGGAGATTCCACTCACATTTCACCCTTGGAACTCACGACTGCTGTGTGACTCTTCGACTCACCACTATAGCCTGCCTACTCACCACTTTGACTCGACCGCCGCCTGCTGAGCATCAATCGATCGCTTTTCATCGAGCGCAGACGCAGCAGAACACGCGTGCACGCACACAGATTCTGCCATGCGCTCGGTGGTAGCGCTCGGGCGCTCGGACGCGCGGCGCGCGAAAGAAAGCTTTGAACCGCACTCTGCGCGCACCCGCGTGCGTGCATGCCGCGCGCGGCCCTTTATGCTGCTGCCACCATGCGCTGCTGCAGAATGGGCCGGATCCCTTTTGCTTTCGCTGCGATGCTGACGGCGCGGCGAAGGGGTTGGTTAGTTGCATCATCAGTAATGTGAATTCAGAATCGCTTGATTTGTGCGTCACACTTTCACTCTTCGCATTATTCGAATCAATTTAAACATTTGTAAACCGTGTAAGCATTCTTTCAACTTCCCTACCAGCTTGCTTGTGGTTTTGGACCTGCCTTGATCAGAAAGAGCATCTAATTCTTGATTCCACATTAAGCCCACCGGCGCTTCTTTGTACTCCCCAAAACCCAAGTTATCGTATGATGATTAAGAACTCCTTGAAAGCAAACGAAGAGTGCACACGACCGAAAGTCAAGCGTCTTTGAGTAACCAGACCCAACAAAGCCGATCGAGCTGTCAACTCGAGTCCTTGACTGCCACCTCGAAGCAGCTCTTGGGCCGCGATTGGCCATCTACAGCACATCCATCATCCACGCAGCTCAGTCTTGCTGATCAAGGCGACTCGATAATTGCAGCAGGGACGCATCGAACAACTGATGCGCTCTTCCTTGCCTCACTCAACCTTCAGTGCGTGCCGTCGCGAGCGTCAGCACGATTTACTTTGCTCGGACCACCCTGCTTGAGCCCAGAGCCACCTCTAGCACTCCATAGCTGCCACATCAATCATGGCCGTCGCACAAGCAACTACTTCTGACCCTACATCACAGTTCACCAACGGTCATGCGCTGTCGAATGGGGCTCACAAGGGCGGTGGAAAGGGCAAGACCCCTTTGACAAAGAATGCGAAGAGGAGAGCAAAGAGAAAGCAAGATGGGCACGATGTTTCGGAGAGCGAGAGCGATAGGGAAGCTGTGAGTGTAGCGTTTGCGCAGCCTACATCCTCGACCGTGATGGCGCCGGACGATGCTGATGGCGATCCGCTGCGTCTCTCTGTCTTGCAGTCTGTCACGCCCGCACCCTCTGCCGGCAATGGCAAGACGAACACGCTGGCTGGAAGCTCGGCGGATGGCGAAGCTTCAGGCTCTCGCTCAACTTCCGCCATGTTCGACCTATCAAGCTTAGCTGAGGCGCCTGCTCCTGACGACCCAGCCTTCGCAGAGTTTCAGTCCGTCTTTGCAGCATTCAAAGGGGACGAAGGCGTAGAGGGTCAAGCTGGCGGAGTGGATGGATCAGGTAATACCAAGGGAGAAGTCATCTACAGCGACGATGATCAGCTCTCCGACTCTGAAGGGGAAGAAGGGGCCGATGGGGCAGCAATAGAAGCGGCAGTACTTTCGAAGAGGAAACAGAGGAAATTGCAAAGGTTGAGCGTGGCCGAACTGAAGCAGTTGACCGTCAAACCTGAATTGGTGGACCAGGCGGATGTGACTGCAAAGGATCCTCTGCTGTTGCTCCAATTGAAGGGCACGCGCAATGCCGTGCCCGTCCCTCCTCATTGGAACCAAAAGCGGGCGTACCTGCAAAACAAGAGGGGCATCGAGAAGCCACCCTACCTGCTGCCGAGCTACATCGCAGCGACAGGGATAGCAGAGATGAAGGATGCGCTCAAGGAGAAAGAAGGCGATCAGAGCTTGAAAGCCAAAACGAGGGAAAGGGTACAACCGAAGATGGGCAAAGTGGACATCGATTATCAAAAGCTGCACGATGCCTTTTTCAAATTTCAACATCGACCCGACAGTCTGACCGGGTATGGCGAGACATACTACGAGGGCAAAGAGTACGAAACGAAGTTTACGCAGCGCAAACCTGGTGCGGAACTTTCCAACGAGCTGAAGGAAGCTCTTAGCATTCCTCCTCTTGCACCTCCACCTTGGCTCATCGCCATGCAAAGGTTTGGTCCTCCTCCTTCGTATCCTCACATCAAAATTCCCGGTTTGAACGCCCCAATCCCTCAGGGCGCTCAGTGGGGCTTCCATCCCGGAGGGTGGGGCAGACCTCCGCTTGATGAGTGGGGCATACCGATCTACGGTGATGTGTTGGGTACGGGCGAAGAGCAGACGAAGGAAGCTCAGCAAGCTTTCGAGGATGAAGTCAGGAGAGATCGGTGGGGCGAGCTGGAGCCTGAAGAGGAGGAGGAAGAAGATGAAGAGAACGAAGAGGACGAAGAGGATGAGGAGCAAGAAATGGACCAAGATGCTCAGATACGTGAAGGATTGGAAACTCCTCTGCCAGAAGGGTTGGAGACGCCTGGAGGTTTCCAGAGCGTGACCAGCACTGTGCCCGGCGGCTTGGAAACGCCAGACTTCATCGAACTCAGAAAAGGAGCAAGAGGAGCTTCGAGCCAGTACGGATCGGAAACGCCGGAACAGCGAAACCTCTACCAGGTGGTTCCCGAACATCAGAACATTCCAGGAGGCGCTGGGAAGGGCTTCATGCCCAGCGATAGAGGCTACGACTTTGCTAGTCTCGCTACTGCCGGTGATGGAGGTAACGTTCTGGGCAGGGAGGATCATAGAAGCAACAAGGTGAGCAGCACTCATGATCATGTGAGCGAATTGCATCATCTTCGCCTGGTCGCTCACCCACAATGTGGTGGTCACTTGCCTCTGTTCGTCGATGCAGCGCAAGGCGGATGACGTCCAACTGGCTCTGTCTCCGGAAGAGATGCAAGGACTAAGCAAGGAAGAGCTCCAAGCTCGTTACGACGCCGCGAGGGCAAAGAAGGGAGAGAAATTCAGGTTTTGAGCAGTAGGATGTCTTGGGCTTGTGGCATGCCGTCAATGTGAGCTGCTGTCACCTGACTAGTAGCCCAAGACAGGCCACGGACGATCTTCTCGCTCGCAATTCGATCGCATTTCGAATTGGTACGTTGGCCTTCGCGAATCACAGGCGTGCGACTCGGGGTCTGACGCCCACGAACAACCTGGCTCGAACCGCGTGCGGCGTCTTGACGCGACGGTGCCAAAGCATGAGACTCGATGGTCGAGCGTTGATACAAGCAAACCCACTGGCGCGACATGCATCATATCGGTGGGTCGGTGAAAGGAAGGCGAAGCATACAAAGATGGATCAGGTGATTTCATTGGTGCGTCGTGACATTTTGAGGCCGCTCTTTATTGTCGGATCCCATCTTTGCTCCATTGAAAAGCTGCCTTCTTAGCTTCGCCGTCTGGATTGCCGGCATCATCTGGTGGAGGGCCTCTACTGGCAAAGCTGGCGCTCAGTTGCTGAAGCACCTCCTTTGGGTCCGTGGACTTGCCTTCTTTCGCAGAAGGCAAGAACATTCGAGCGTTGAATTCGGAGATCTCCGCAGCCTCTTGGTTTCGTGGAAGAATCCTTTCGTGAAATTCGCGCAGAGCGGTCTGCAGGACGTGCGAGGCGTTCGTCTGGCCTCCTTGGCTTTGGAGCGTGCTCGATACGCTCAACAATGCGTCGCAGAGGTCTGCACTGTCTGCCATAGCTTTGTTCACGCCTTCGCCTGCAAAGGGCGAAATTGCCAAGCGCGCATCTCCAATGACCACAATGCCCGTCTTGGAGTCGTCCTGGTTGAAATCGATTCCACCAGCGACGTCCAGAGGTGTGATCATGAATCGCCGAAGAACGGGTTTGTGGTTGACATCTCCCTGAAGCAAGATGGAGCGAAGTCTGGCATCCCACTTGTCCTCCGGCAACAGCGAGGCAACCTTGTTCAGCGATGTCTGCACATCGTCCTCCTCTTGCGGAACTTGTGTTTTGTTTGCGTCGATCCAGTCATAAGGTTGTCTGACCATTGTGTGTATTCTGCACAGTCCCGCATCACCTCTGGGGATTTCTTGACCAGCCGCTCGAAGGTTGGCCAAATAATCGCGCGTCTCGGCAGAGGGATTGTTTCTTTGAATGACTAGCACCTCGGTCCCACCGACGGAAAAGCATAGACCTGCTCCCACCAACGAGTCGACAAATCCTTCCGCATCATTTTGGAGAAGTCGCCAGCGTGGACCATCTTCGTCCTGCACGATGCGAGGAACGAGCAGGCTTTCGGCCCATGTGACGCCGTTGTACACCGGCTCGGCTTCGCTTAGCAATCGACGAACTTTAGACCATATGCCATCTGCACCTACGACGATGTTGGCTTTGGCTTTGCTTCCGTCGGCAAAGTGCAAGGTGTGGAAAGGGAGATCTGCGGGGGTCTGTGCTGCTGCGGTGCGTGGCTCCACGCTGCTGAGCTTCTTTCCCCACACTACAACTTCTTCATCCTTCCCTATTCTCTTGGCGATTCCTTCCAAGAGCATCGCTCTCAAGTCGCCTCGATCAATCTCAGGATTGTGTTCTTCCGCATTGACCTTGCTGATCTCCTCTTGCGTCATGCCTACAAAAGGGGCATGTTCCCAAGCTACTTGACCAGTGTGAGAAACGGCGCGCACTTCTTCACCTGCTACTCTGCCCAGCTCAAAGAACCGTTGCAATAGACCAGCCTCTTTCAGACCCCTTTGCCCAGAACCGGGATGGAGGTCTAGTGTACCGCCCGCCCATCGACGAGCATCGAAGGATGCCTCGAGCTCGTAGACGCGCAAATGCGAGGCTGGCACACCTTTGGCCAGCAGAAGATTAGCCAACGTCAAGCCCGCGGGTCCACCTCCGGAGATGGCGATGTGGAATGGAAAGGGGGAAAAACGAGACATGGGGCAGAGTTTGCAAAGGGACAGGACTCGTGAGAAATTGGTGGAATTTGGAGCAATTTGACGAGGCGACGTTCGCAACGTGTCTTCACGATCTGCGATAGATGTGTGGATGAGTATAAGAGGGCCGGCCAGCAGCCGTATTCACATTATCCGTTCATCGCCCTCTGCGACCTTGTGGGTTTCACGACGGAGCACTGTGCGGTGAGGATGAGGCTAGACTAGCGCGCAGCAGACAATGCACTGCGCAATCTTCTGCAATCCGGCGGTTTCATGCGCGAGACTTCGAAGGTGGGACAGCGGCAGAGGCTTTGCTGGGCGCACGAATGCCATGCTGCCTGGGCGTGGAGCATTCAATTGTGCTGGCACAATGATCCCTCTGACTTGCAGATGGCCTGCTGGGCACGAACGTCAAGCAGTCGAGGGAGCCGTTCTGTGATTCATTCGACTAACGAATGAAGACCGCCCCGGCGTACCGGTCGGTGCACGCTTTCACTCGCTCGGCAGGAAAGGCAAGAGCGGGACAAGGAGCTCCTTTGCCTCGATTCGTCGCATTCAATGTCACCGATTGGTCGTCATACGCATTGCTGGCGGCTTCGCCCCACGAAACGTTCAGAGCGGGCGCGTGGCGCCGAAAGATCATCTTGATTGAGCCGAGCCACGATATGAAGAGCTCATGATCACGGAAGAGGTCCGAGCTTCAAATCGTGAATCTGAATGCAAGAAAGCCGCTTCGTAGAAGAGCGAGACTACTCACTCACTCACGACTGGGCTGGTATAGGACAGCGCAGCCACCTGGTCGGAATCGTATCACAAATGCACGGTCATGTTGAATTCAATGACTCAAATTCGATCCTGCGCAACACTTACGACTGCTGATGCGCGGCGCGGTAGCAGAGAGTGCTATACCGTCACGTATGGGGCGGTGCTGGCAGAGCGAATTTTTGGGGTCGGGCAGAGAGAGAGCTCACGTGACTTGGTGGCGACACGGGCTGAACCGGCAAATCTGCGATGCACATCAGATGGGATCCGAGGTGGCGTTCAGAAATCGTGCAAACGGGCGAATCACAGGGACAGAGCCGATATGAAGACAGCAGCAGGGGTGTTGAAACTGTGGCGGTTACACGGGAGAGACATTCACAGCATTTGGGGGCAGTTGGCGCTAATCGCCGCAAAGCTCAAAGGGTGTTCAAACCCCACTCAAATCACGCCTAGCTCATGCTGGATGCAGGTCGCACGCCCGGTGCAGGGTACTCGATAGCCGCGGTCCGCCTGACTGCGCGTTTCACGTTTGATTGATATCATGCTGATAATACCGGCACTTTGTCGGACCGCGGCAGGTCAGGATTCAAGTCCACTCAATCGACCATCTGATACACATGCATCAACATCAACTTCCTTGCGCCTTGCATCAATCATATTCACATCATCTTCAGCTTGGCCAAGGGCTCCACCTACACTCATCGGCTCGAATACTATTGCACCTCTCCTGTGACTCGAAATCACAATCCTTCTCGTCAATCTTTAAGGCGCCGCCTCGCAAAACATCTCAACAAATGGTGAGACGCGTTCGCCAGGAACAGTCACACTCAAGACTGCAGCAGGCAACATGAACATCATGGAAGCATTACTGCATCCCATCGTCTCCATCTTTGCGCCTCTACCAGCTCTGCAACAGCACTTGACGCCGAGCGGTAGGGTTCCCGGAGCAGCGCTTCGAGTTCCACTAGGAATAGCTCGCAGCATAGCCAACTTTTTCGCTCTTCTCCTAGGCACCCACATTCTCCTGACCATCCATCTGTACAGGATCATACCGAAAGCTACTTACGGGTACGCAAATGCTCAAGGTGCGCAGTTGGAAGGCAATGAGGATCGCGATGGGTTCACGTATCCCACGCATCGAAGGCTTACTGCCGCGAGACAAAGACTTGAAGGGCCTACTGCGACCTTGAGGAGAGCGGTTCGAGAAAGGGGACTGCAGATGGTACAAGCGATGCAAAGTCATGGCGGTTTAGCTGCGTGAGCAGATTGCATGCCTCGTGCCCGCACGCCCATGTTCGTTGGCTGAAACCCTGACCATCTCTGTTGCCGCGGCCTTCAGCGGGCTCGTCACTTATCTGGAGCTCGCTCCCGAGACGCCGCAGGCCGTCTCGCCGATATTTGCTCGGCTGCCAAGCGAGATCATCACGCTGATCTTGATGTACGCAGCATCTCCTCAAGCCTCGGCTTCGTTGCCATCCACCATCGCCCAAGTCTCTTCGATTCATGCCTCGCTTCTGACCCCTCGTCTCTATCAGCACGTGCTTCTCCTCACCCCTCGTTCCGTGCACCTTCTTCGACGAACGCTAGCGCTACACCGTCCAGATCTAGGTCGACAAATCCGCAGCATCCACATCAAAGCGCCCCATCCAGGCGCGCTCGAACAGATTCTTTTGGCGATTCCCAATCTGCGCTCTCTCTCCCTCTCCGCTTCAGCCCACGACGCCTTCTGCTTGTCTTCAGGTTCAAGAATATTCGATTGCGCCACCCCTTCGCTATTGCATCTCGATTGCGTACCTTCGCCTTTACCCGTCTTTAGAAAGGTGAAGCACGCCGTCTTGTCTCTTCGACACTTTGATGTGATGACAGCAAGGCAAGTTCGCATCGCCTTGCCTTCACTTCGGACCATCGAGATCTGGTACGACCTAGGCATCAATGACTTGGGTCCTCATCCGTGGAGTATGGGTGGAAGACCGCGCGCGGGGCTTTCCACCGTTGCAGAGGCTTTGCGTGTCCTTCGCTCCGAAGGCAAAAGGCTGGAAGGTGTGACGGTGTGGGCCAACGTTCGCATCAAAGGAGCCCTCAAGCGTCGACTAGGGTCTGTAAAGGACGAGGGGCGCGGAAGCTACTACAGCATTCTGATGGAGCCCGCGTTGGAGAGGCAGTGGATCTCTGTTGACGAAGATGGATTGGAGAGACCTTCCTTGGTTGTTGCTCGGCCCTCCATCGTGCGGACCGCCTCAGCGGCCGCAGCAGATGAACTGCTAGTGGACAGGGAAGATGAGCCTGCACCACTGAGAATTTTGAGGGCTGATCGCCCCAGAGCTGTTGCAGGAGAGTGGAGTGAGAGCCAGCTTGCCAATGCGTGGCAGCTTTGAAGTTCTTCTTCCAATCTTTTGTTCGTTTCTTGTACTCATAAGCGGCTGCCTCTTTCTCTAGTCGTGTACCACAGTGTCTTTGCTGTAATGTATTTTCATACCCCATATCCGCGGAACAGCTCGCGATGTGACGCCTTGACTCAGTACCTGCTCCTCGTTCCCGTGAGTTCTCCCGTGTAGAAACAGATGCCCTGCATGTCGAGCCAATCTCGCAAGACATCCTTATTCTTGAG